AAGGCAGACGCTCAACCATCTGAGCCACCCAGGCGCCCCTGTCAGAGCTCATTTTGCACATAAATGCTATGGATGCAGTGGTGGTGGAAGATAAGTCTGTGAGAATTCAGACTTATTAAATTTCTATGAAATCCCACTGGGCAGAAATGCAGCTATTGTGGGGAAGCCTTTTCCTGGAGGTGATATCTCCATTGTTATCAAAGAATTCCCACAGGACCAGAACATTAGGAAAGAATGTGATGATGTTTTCAGTGATAGGTTCTACCTCATCACATCAGAGAAGTGTAGAAAGATACCTCTAGAGACACTGAATATGGACAACATTTTCAGTAAAATGTGGAAGAACTCATAGGAGAAACCCCTGAACACAGTAAAAGATGGAAATTCTAAAATAGGAATTCTATTGCCAAACTAACTAATGTGTCACAATTTAATACCTTGGGAATCTGGGAAAGACTTTTCTAATAAATGAAATCTTGGGCACTAGGAATTGAATTATGTAGCAAAAACCTATGAATATAATGAATACGGAGATACAACTTTATTAGTCTCTTATGGCTGCTGTAACAAATTACCATACATTTGGTGGCTTAAAACAACACAGTATTATAGCTCTGGAGGTCTGAAGTCTGAAATGCATCTTGCTAGACAAGGGGGTCACAGGGCTGCTTTTCTTTTTGGAGGCTGCAGGGAGAACCTGTTTCTCTTTGTCCTTCCAGCTGCTAGAAGTTGCCTGAATTTGTGGTTTGCAGACCCCTTCCACCTTCAAAGCCAGCAATGGCCGGTCAACTCTTCCATCACTCTGACACTGAACTCCTGCCTCCTTCTCCTACACTTAAGGACCGTGACTATATTGGGCCCACCCAGATAATCCAGGATGACCCCCCTATCTTAAAATCAGCTAATTAGCAACCTTAACTCCACCTACTACCTTGATTCCCCCTTGCCTTATACTGTGAAATATTCACAGGTCCTGGAGATTAGAATGTGGACATCTTTGGGGGGCCATTATTCTGCCTCCTTCAGAACACCCTCTGGCATCCAATTATTTGTCCATACTACATGAAAAATACATTCGCTCTCTCTTAGCACCACCAAATGTCTCAACCTATTACAGAACCAACTCAAAGTCTAAAATTCCATCTAAATCTTCTTGGCTCAAAAGCTCTAAATCAAGTATTGGGTGAGGCTCTGGGTATGATTTGTCCTGAGGCACAGTTCTCCTCTGTGAGGCTGTGAAACTCTAGAAACAATTCATATGGGCCTAAAATACCCAATTGCATCTTTTACTTTAAATGCCTTTTGCCATGTAACGTAATATATTTACAGGTTCTGGGGATTAGGACATGAACATCTTTGGGAGGCAATTCTTTTTTTTTTTTTTTTAAAGATTT